AATGTATAAGTTTGCTTCTATCTGTTTAGGCAAATATCTGGTGTAACGTCTGAATTTGAATTGAGTTTCAAGGTATAACGTTATTTTGGAGCATACACAGTGCGCTGCTGCGTCAAAGGCACAGCCTCAGGTCGCTCAGCAGTGCTGAAGGGCCAGCCCGACACACTGGCAGGCTGCTGTCTGGAACACGTCGTTTGCTGACAAACTCACAAGCACCATTACGTAAAAATGAAAGTTAAGGCCTACGCACCTTCCCCGGGGATAAGCCTCCGGTAAGGAACGAAATAATTCGGCATAAACGGTAAAGGTTCATATAGACGCGTAAATGTGTCAAAGGTATCCGGTTCGGCTGTTGGCCTATCTAATGCTCACAAACTGAATACTGGCATAAGGTACAGGCCAAAGCAACAAAAAGCTTCACTATAGGTTAGAACCCAAAGAGAGATTCAATTATCGAATTGATTTCAGGTCCGTTTGAGGGGGTAAATATGATTTGGCTTTTTTGTCATCTAAAGAGGTTTTTCTTCCTGCTTTTCTTAATTATCTCTTGACTGGAGCTACATCAGTGTTTACAGCTGCAATGCGCCCCTTGATTGGTGCGTAACACCACGTCGTGTGCGCCTCTCGCTGCAGCTGTACCAGTTAATGGACAGCCGGTGTAATGTACTGTACTGTAGGTCCTCTGAGAGCCAGCCTGCACCAGCTCACTATGGGCTATAGTCTTTTATTATAGGCCTTAGAGAACATCAGTGATTGCCAAGTGGGATTTTAAAATAAAACCATTTCAAAATCTAGGCTATAGGCTAAATGTAAATTTATCCTATGAAGATTTTACTGTGAAGGCACAGCATGCAGAGAGGACAGGCTACTTGGATTTCCAATTTCCAAACGACTTTTGCGCGTATTAAACAGACAGGATACGAAAAAGCGCAGCCACGTCTGTATGTGAGCCGGGCCTGTATGTGCGTGCACGATCGGTTATTTTTTCCACAGCAACGGGATCGACACAGCTTGCAGTCTCTGATTTTTGTTGAGAAAAAAAAAATACGAAAGGGTTTTTTAATGAGCCTTTTAACGATATTTTCTGCATTGGTTTGTTTGGACCAAGTCTTACAAAAAGGGACAAACAGCAATTAGATGTAGTTGGACAGGGTGAACGCAGTTAGGATTCAAGATCATTTTAAACAGTTTTTAGAGTCATTTTTACAAAATGATACAGGAAGGACTGAAATAGACAATAGAAAGAAGAGTGTAGCCTGACTTACACCTCAAAATTAACAAATAGCCTATCATATTTAATTATTTCTTAATTTTAGCCTACCAATACTTAACTTTTTCTGCTTCTTATTTCAATGGTTTGATATCTATTTCAATTGCTAGTAAAAAAAAAAAAAAAAACAACATAAAATGTAGTTTACAAATTTAGCACACCCTTTGAAGATTTCTTCCTCTCAGGACATGGGGCTAAAAAGCACCTGCAGGTTGAGGTTTTGTGGCAAAGCTGAATCAAAGAAACTGGGTTTCTGGACCACTGCTTGTTCGGCCTGTATCCAACATAAAACAAACCCGAATCCTGAAGGGTGTGTAAGAGAGGTTTGTGTGTGTGCTCATGTCTACACATGAACACATCAAT